CTGAGAGTCTTGATGAGACAGAATATGCAGGAGATGAAAGTAGAAGCAAAAAGGGAACAAAGGATGGGCAGAAAGTCTTGATGAGACAGAATATGCAGGAGATGAAAGTAGAAGCAAAAGGGAACAAAGGATGGGTCAAAAGTCTTGATGAGACAGCTTTTCGCGTGGGGTACAAAATGGGCTTATGGTTGAGAAACAGGTGGTACGTAGCAAGCATTCTCTGTGCTATGGACATACCGGGCATGCCAGAAACCAGTAATTGGCCAGATGTTATAGCTCGGGCAGTTCATACTCCTTCTTCCTCCATGCTCAGTGTGCTTAACAGAGTTTGTTAGCTTTACATGTATGACTTCCATAAAGTCTTAATTCTTCTTAAATTGAAATGACCAGCTCATTCATTAGAAAGAAATGTCATTGTTTCACTAAGTCTCCAGCGAACTTCAACAAACAAAGTGGCAACAGGAATAGAAGGTATTTTGGCTGCACCGCTGAAGGGTTGTTCACTGAAAATGACGTGAACCAGCGAGACAAGTTTCTTATCAAGACTAACTGAGCATATCGGTGTATTCCTCTTGTCTAAAGTGAAGTGACAATAGTGTGTGTATTAAATCTGATATTGAATGGGTGAATGATGAGAGCCGCACGGTTTTTAAAGTACTCATTACAAAAACAGGTACATTTTCTCCGACACTTTTTCATCCAAGACGAAATTCATGAGTTCATGTACATGTATACTGGTCTTTTTGAATGATACGCCAATGTAAATATTTGCTTAAATGACATCCACCTTCAAGAATGTGAAAATAAAAGTTGAGAAAATATTGGAGATCATATGAGGAGTTACGTGGAAAGAGGAGGTCTCATGGAAATGATGAAAAGAAACTTGATTGAGAGCATGTTCAGTATACATACATAGCATTAACAAAATGGGGGAATGACTACATGTACCGGTAAGTCATGCAAGAATGAGCGGGGGGGTTCAACAATCACACTCTCAGAAAAATGTCATTCTTGAAACAAAAATGACAGGCAAACACCAAAGATTGTAACCAGATCCTCCATGAGTACATGTATTAAACAAACACGAGCAGTTTGATTTTTTTGAGTTATATCGACTCTGGCGTAGAAGTGCATAATTTTATTACTTACAGCTGGTGGCAATGCCAGTGCTCTACCTATGAAGCCATCCACACACATGCATGCACCATGTACAGTGTGTACCCCATCCCATGCAGCTAATGGCAAATATGAAATGGAAGTAGATGTACCAGTACCTTGGGCATTCAAACGGTTGTGGAGTGCAACATCTTTGAAGATTGACATTTCTGAGGAGCCCTTGCCACATAAAATTGGAGAGTTATTACCTTGTGTCTTGCTTCCATTACTGGTTGCCTCACCTCCTTCAATTTGGAATGTTCAATGACCTTTGTAAACAAGAAGGAAAGTCAGCGAGTCAATAAAACATCTCCTGTACACACAGTCAAGGTAAGATCACGGATAAACATGGAAGGCAAGAAGTCAAGTCCAACATGTTGTGCAATTAAAATTTGACAAAAGAAGACTTCACTGATGAAAGCGATCACATTTGAACACTGTACTGAATTAGTAAAAGCTTAAAGTAAAAAGGGATCAGCTATACATGTACATGTATTCACCTTTTGCTTGAAAATTTAATAGGTCCGAGCAAAACACTAACACTAAATGTGCCCTGTAAATGTACTACTGTACATCAGCAGTTGACTCTGCCGAACTACATTAGTTGGCTCTGATACAAAGACTACAATCAACAATCCTTACCCTTACCAAAACACTGGCATCAAGTTCAACACAGTCCTTGCATAGGTCAGACTGATAGCATCTGCACTGTGTGGTGCATATCGGATGAAATCTCTGCCTCTAACTCATCTGCTCTGTCCATCCTCGGCATCTGTCTCATCTAGTGCATCTCGGATGCTATCCTTGCCCCCAGCTCATCTGCTCCATCCATCCTCACGCTTTGTTGAGGCAGTAGCCTGCCAACCACTTCATCGGTGACTGAGATGAAAGTGAGTCTCCCATCTCACAGTCCTGCTGCCTCCTTCCACTTGGAAGTCCCAATTGCTCCCTTGCATATTAGAAGACTGTAAAAAAAATGGAAACAACCTTGTTATCCAAGACAAGTTGAATGGAACTCAGCCAATGGAGCTGGACCAAGAGAGGGTGCAATATTCCTGGCATCGGAGGCTCCTTTGGTCAGAACTGCACTTCGCTGGTTCACAACTGACTCTACAATGCATGCATTACGGGCATGACGGGCAGGCTGCTACCAGCAAAATGAACACTCATGACCAACTTACTCTTTGCAACCAATCAGGGGTGCTTTTACTTGAGGCAGATACATACTAATACACTGTACATACATTGTATGTACATGTATGTGTACATGTACCGACAACACTTGATGCCCCTGTACATGCTGTATCGATATACACATGTACAAACCTACCGGTAGGAGTATGAGACTTGTTCTCAAACTGTTCTCAAACTGTTTGCTGAATGCTTCAGACTTTTCTTAGCTAAATTTCACATTTTATAGCATGTTGTCACTTTCTGATCTGATGGCTGTTACTTTTTTTAGGGAAAATTGGTGCTGTCCGTATATGGAACTCTTACCGAGTTGTCTGTCCCCTCCTTCCTCCATGGTCCGTTAGAGGCACAGGCGGTCGAGTTGTCTCACCGGTTGAGTTGTTGGAGTTACCGGTACGTTGTTCCAAGTTGGGTTGGCAAACGGTCGAGTTGTCCGCGTCCGATGTTTGGCGAAAATGGGGAAACTTGATCAAAGCGAAGTTTAAAAGAGTGACACAAACCTGGAGCTATAAAGGAGAATATTCCTATGACAAATTTGTCGACTATAAAGTTTGCGCCTAATATTAGTTATAGAAGATTTCCTCTAGTTAGACCACATTTTGCTTACTACAGACCTGGGCCGACATGTACATGTACAACATGCACATGTGGTACGCAGTACAGTACGCGTATCGGTCGCTGATGATGCATATGATGCGAGTACACGACAACCGCTTGGTGGCGCTTTCAGGAATCTACGACTACATTGGCGCAAGGCCCTACGTCGATCTCTGCAGAGACTGAACCTGTCGACTCGACTTTGTTTTTTCTCGACAAATTTAAAATGATCGGAGCCGTTACAAGAGCTCTCGTGAGAAAGGGTAAGGAGTAGGCCTACTGTGATTTTTTGTTACTCCCAGAACTGTCGGACCCCACAGTTCTGGCACCTACCCGGGGCTTGTGAATGTGAGGGTAGGCCCTAGTGATTTGTATCGAATTTTGTGGACCTCCAATTTGTTGTCGCGCCCCAACTAGCAACTATAGCGTCTGTCCCGACTTTAGTGCTGCTTTGGGCTGACCCAACTATTGTTGACCAATTTCTATAGAAATTGTCTCAACCTAATAAGTTTATACATCTTACACTTGACACAATTCATCTAGAATACGGCACCCTATCTATGACTTAACACTGTAAACATGGTAAACAATGATATGACTTAGGCACATGCTGGACATATACATGTACTCTAGTTGGGATTGGCCCAACTGTAGTTGGAACTGATGTTATAATTGGAGCATAACATCACTAACATTAGGCTACTATCGTGGAGTTCCTAAATTTGTACATACATGTACATGTACAAATATTCGCGCATCCAACTTTCTCGTCTTGAAAGCTTTTCCAGGGCGAATTCAGGAAAAATGTTTACAGAGTATAAAGCTTTACTTTACTGACTAAATACAAAAATGAACCAGTTAAAATTGTCTAGAAAATGGATAAATGATCGCTGTTCGTTCATGATCAATGTTGGATGCCTGATACAGGCACTAATGATGACTCTGATCAATTTTTGCCCAATATTGAGGGTGTTATAAGAAATATGGAGCCTCAAAAAGATTCCCGTTTGTGACGACGGGTGCGGATTCGGTGGCACTGTATTTTGTGAATGTTTTGAGAAATACACCTAGAAAGAGAAGTTTTGTCATAATATCCAGATAAATATTCATATTAATGCTAATTATGATTTATTTGAAAGAATAACAATTCATGCCTCACTGTAACTTCAAATTAAATTGAAAAGAAAAATAAAATCTACATGTAGGAGAACAAAATGAGAGAGTGATGGATCGTCAAGCTATTTGGAATAAAAGTGTTGTTTCCTCAAACTTCATCACTAAACCAAAGTAATTAATGCCAAAACTAACTCAAGAGACATTAACTGGCAGATGTTTCAGAAGTAGGGCATTACTGATACCCCGTAAAATGATGTTTGCAAAGTACATGTACGTGCACAAATTATGGTAACATAGGTTTTACGACAGCTGATCCAACTCATTTACAGATAACGTTGTTCCCGTTGCTTCACTGACATCCGATGTTGTTCATAATATTATTCCATGTAGGATCTTAGTCAACTTTTCAACTACTGAAAATGAAGCCCTTAAAACTTTAGTATGTTTAAAAGTGTGCTTTGGTCAGAGTGCTAAGTGAGCGAATTATAGTGACTCATTGATAACGTTAGTCTGAGTAACTTAGACTCTACAAATCACCTTTTTTAAGATGTGGACATGGTGGGGCAATAGTAGAGGGGCCAAGTTGTAACATGGGGTCTAGAAGCAAGGCCCTCTAAAAAGTTTGGATTCCAGATACTCTGTGGTGCAATCTAAGGCAATTTCTGACCACAAAAGCTAAAAGAAAACATGTACACAAGTACTTCAAAGTAACTGGTTGTTGTCAGATCATGAAGCTACAAAAAGCTTGTGGTGCAGGTCATCAAAAGGGAGAGCTGAATTAGAGCCGCAGGGTAAATGACTGTTTTACACTGAGTGGACTCAGAGGTCACATGCATGTACTGCAGCTTTCACTGGATTGGAATTGACTTCATTAGATAGCTGCACTAGAACTCACTGCATTCCATCAGCAATTAGTGAGAGACAAAGTGATCAGAGGTTAAACAATGCAATTAAGGGAGGAGATACATGTAAATAGTGAAGCTTCCTTTAGGTGTGAATAAAACGTTTCCCTGACTTTCAGGTGCCATACAAGAACCAAATAATGAATGTGTATGAATCAATATTTAAACACCTATTTTTCTAAAATTTGAGAGTCATTGAACAGCTAAATTGACATGTAATCTGAAATATTGATCAAATTTAGGCGTATTCCCTCTGCATTTTTTAAAAATTAGGGTCTGATTGATGCCCTCGAATAAAAGAGAAGTGGGCCAAGCGCTGTTGTGTCGGAAGGAAAAAGATCTGTACAAAAGCCCTGGCTGTTGTGTTTTGTTTTTGGTTTTTTTGTTTTTGTTTTGTAATTTGTTCATAGTCACTTCATGTTCAGTTGTCTACTGTGATGTTGCTCATGGAATTTTGTTCATAATGTATCTGTACACCCAAGGGGACAAATTTTATTTCCTCCCAAGGCTTCATATTGTGTTTTATGCAATTGTTTAAAACTGGAACAATTTGCAAAAATTACAGGATAAAAAAACATTGTCAGCCTACCGTACATACTGTACATAGTACATGCATGAGTAGTGCAGATGCACAAGAAAAGCATGATGATTTGAAACTGTTGCATACAGTTACTTAAAGACTTTGAAGTACCTGTTTCATTCCTGTCGAGAGAATTCCATGTAACTACTGTACATGAATACCAGTACCTCTGTAACTTTAAATGTCAGCATTAGGTCCCCTGTCTAACTTGTGTTTTTTTTAGCCAGTATGAAAGAAACTGCTTCTGAAATAGTCACAGTGACAGTGCCCTGGACATTTTGAGGATTCCTTGGTATCATTACCAGAAGTGTTTCATACACTGTAATAAGAGTATGAAGTACATGTATTTACAAGAGTTTATCGTACACAACATTCCTACATGTACATGTACATTTGTATATGAACACAACAGATTTACATCTGCTATTTAAAGTCTCATTTGGCCACGCATAGCAAGTATAGCAGGGTTGATGAAAATCATGCTTTTTATCAAAAAAATAAGATTTTGTTTATTTAAATCACATTTTATTTAAATGTAATTTAACTTTTACTTTTTTAAATTGGTCTTTGTATGAGTTGTCGAGAAGGCTTTGGTCCTGAAGTTCAAGACTTGAAACACCATGTGACTTGCTGACTGTTAAGGCCCAATTTGTCACATGTTAAGCTGCTTATGTTTAATCAAAAAGTGTGTGTGGAGACCATCTCTCAATCTTAAAAGATTGTGAGCCTGAAATTTCAAACACAGGCAAAAATGTATTACTTTATGTACCGTACAAATTATGATCCTGGTAATCATTACAGCAGTAGCATGGAAAAGATGATACCTGTACCCAGTGTTGTTACGGGTCACTAAACTTGGTGAGCCGAGTCAAGTCATTAGGGCAAGAAGTCGAGTTGAGTTACTTTGTGTAACCGGGTTGAGTCAAGTACATTGTACATGTACCTAGCTTGACTCAATTTGAGTCACAAATTTATGAACAAAATACAATAAAATCACAACTACATGTAAGTCATTTTTTGGTATTTTTATTTTCATTTAGACATACTGAAAATAAATTAGGGTGACAGGTATCTAGTCAACTAAAATTTTGCTTTTAATTTTTTTGGGACTTGAGTCTCTTAAGCTTGTACTTGAGTCGAGTCTCCATGAGAGCTTCAAATTGAGTCAAGTCATTTGGTTGCATAGACTCGAGTTGAGTAGAGTTGCCAAAATTTGTGAGTCGAGTCGGACTCGAGTCAAGTCATTACAACGCTGCCTGTACCAGTACCAAGCTTTTTGCATGCAAACATATTGTTGGGACCTACAGTACATACATGTAAAAGTAGGATTATGGTTTTTGATACACCCTGTACAGTGTGCACAGTTTGGTGTGTTTGATGATTTTTCGTCTCTAATTGTGGGGACATACCGGTACATTGGTCATCATGAATTTGAGTCCACTCGGTTAGAAATCAACTTTGTCTGAGTTAACTCGGTCCCAAGTTAACTCAGTCCCAAGTCAACTCGGTCTCAGTTAATTGAGTTAAGTCAACTTGGTCGCTGTGATAAAATGAAATTGTGGAGCATGCTGCAGTTAATGTTGCTGAGCTTGGTGCTGGCCGGGCACACATAAATCATGCTATGTTCGTCACAGTTATTGATGAAATAAAATTGAAATGCAAGGATTCAATTTACAAAAAATGTGTAAAGAAGTCCATCAACATCAAATGAAAACAAGCGATCGACATGCAAAGGAATAAACACTTTGCAAACTTTGCAAACAGAATTTGATTTGGGTAACCTTTGTTTGTATTTTGGGTTCAATATCATATCCCAAAGTGAATATTTGATCTTGCTTTGGTTAGTGAAAAGGTGTCCAGGTAACTCTTAAAGTTATGGAAGATAAAAGTTTATGACAATTTCCCTGTGTTGGAAAGTTTCAGTGTAAAGACTTGAAATGAAATCATGCAACTTTCCTTTCCTTATACAGTGTAATTTGCCATAAAGATCAAGTTGACTCTGTACCGAGTTGACTTGGGACTGAGTTGACCTTTTAGGCAGAGTTGACTTGGGATTGAGTTGACTTGGGGCCGAATTGACCTAGGGCCGAATTGAGTTAAGACCGAGTTGACCTGAGACCGCGTTGTCTTGAGACTGAGTTGACTCAGACCAAGTTGGTTTCAAACCGCACCTGCACCCATCATCACACCAGTTTTGTAGGTACCAAAATATGTTGGAGGCAGCAAACAGTCCCCATAACTTGGTTCTAATTTGCCTTATAGTAGAAAATTTCTCTATAACACAGTTAAGGCCTACCCCTTCACACAGGCAACTGAAGCGTTGCTTAATTTATTCATGTGTTCTAGAGGTGTTTGAAGTTTCACATTCATCAAATTTATCATACCGATAGATTTCCTTACAGCATAAAATAAACTAAAAGAAACCACATTGCCACAACACATTGAGACTATTGAATACAGAAACTGTCACACTACATGTATTTCTACACGTAAGTACTGATGAAACCAATTGTATTAAGCAACTTGTCCTTTTGTGAGTTTGAAAGTTCTCATACTTGCTGACCCTATTTTGGTCAGGGCACAACATACATGTACATTCTGTTTTCATTAAAAAAAAAGAAGGTAATCCCTCAGTTGTTTTCAGTCCGTTCCATGCTCTAAATTCATCCAGCTGATGATTTCACCATAACTGCTTTTCCTCTTGTCTTTGGCTTACATGTACACTGTACATGTATTCTAAAGTCACAGCTTTAAAACATTGAAATTGTGCACTATTGATTTACTTTAGTTTATACTCGTAGTTGGCACAATTATCCAGTTTGTTTAAGTACTTGTCGCCCACTTCGGCAGCAGTAGCGCTGTTGAGCTGGCACATTTGTCCCGCCAGGTTGAGTGAACGACAGGTTGGGTCCTCAGAGCAGGCAATGCAGCACTCTATGTGGCTCTTCACAATGAACTCCACTGTAGTGTGGTTGGTCAGGCAGAGGGGCTGCTGGTCATTAGACACCATGGCGCAGGACAGGGATCGGGCACAGCTGTCTGGCTTTGCAGCGCACATGACTTTCCTCTCCTCGCTACAACCAAGCCCACGCCAGACACCCAAAGTGAAGATCATGACGGCGCAGTCACCCACATCAGTGTGGTCAGGGCTCCAGTTGGAATAAGGGCCAGGGTCTTCAGAACAGACACGCTGGCCATCTTTCCTGAAGCAGCGTACCCAGGGGTTTGGATTTCTCCCATCGAACGGATTCCAGTTTGCATATATCGCCTGCTGGACAAAGTCATTTTCTTCTTGAGATGCAGGCAGAACCATGTCCCCTGCAAGATTCTTGCACATCTGGTGACCGTCAGACCAGGAATAGCTTGATCCTAGTATCAAGTAGCAGGTTCCCTCGTGTAGTGTCCACTCATAGCTTGGACAAAGCTTTCCAATGGCTTCTATCTCCTGAATACCAACAGCTGCTAAAGTTATCAATATGATGAGAAGAGCCATAGCAAGTGATGAAACAGGTCCTCTTAGTTGAAGAACAAAAATACTTTCATATCCGTATATTTTCTGTTATATCAGCTTTGCAGTAATGTACACGTTCACACAAACTTGCACACTTACAAGTAAAACTGACATTACATCATACAGGTACATACCGGCACATGGTACAGTCACCTCTGTGGTACGTACCTTTAACAAAACCTTAAATAACTTTACATGTACGTGCTGACACAGTTCCATGCTTTCACTTCACTCCTGTGCATTTACATGCATACTTTATACATGTACATGTACTTGTCACGTGTGCCTGTACGCAGCACACAGTAAGAAGAGACAGCCACATCACTCTTCAATTACGGTCCTTGAGTCCTTTGATTCTTCATGTGCACAAAGCACCTCCTTCTCAAGTCGACCGTTTATATTATTAATATTGAAGATCAATTTTTCCCCAGACTTTCAAGTGATTTTTTTTTTACTCATTTTGGCATTGGTTCAGGAAACTGCAGCATACCATAGCATATTGATTCAATTAATAGCACAACTTAACCTCTCCGGGGTTTATCGACTGACATTGGTTTCAAATTACAGGCTCTTCAGATAACCCAAGGTTGAGACTTGTGTCGCCATGGAAATAATTAAGGAACTTTGAAATAGCAGAATATGGATTTTAGTGTAGGAATCATGCGCCTTGTGATAGATTGTGTATGAATTGTTTGGTGTCGCGACACAAAATGCCGATGGACACTTGAGTGCCATTTTCATTACACAGTCAATCTCAAGTGGGAGTTTGTCAGGCAAACATGCCACTGGTTTGTGGATTGAAAGTTACTCCATGCATGGAGTATTTAACCTCCTGGAACCACTGCATGCACCCAGTGTTTCCTTTACTGGTTCTGTTGTGTAAGCCAAACCTTCGACAGTTCCTGCACTCACTTCAAAGCCATTTTTAAGTTCAGAGGACAACATGCCGAAAGGGGACTCTTTGTCACTTAAATGTACACGTTTGTGTAGCAACAGCGTCCTTTGCACAAGGCTGGCACAACAGATGCACACGCTTGGTTAAACAAGTACATGTACATACATACAGCTACTTGTACATGTAACTGCAAATGTTTATGTATGATATATGCAGGATTTAATTTTAAAATAGTCTTTAATTTTCCTGAGAGACTATTACTTTTCCTTTTTTTGCACATATATTGTACCTGTGTGATGTACAGGTCTGTGCATTGTACAAGTACCTTAATTTCATCTGAGATGTGCAAACATACATGTAGAGTCTTAGTATGATCACCCTGCACAAAGTGGTGACATCAGAGGCGGAGACAGGAATTTCACAAGACTTGGAGCGAGTAGGGTGGCCTCTTGTCTTAGTTGGGTGAAGGCTACCTGATTTTAGTGTGTTTCTTAATCATTGTACCGTATGTGCTTTCTTTGTTTTCTCACATTACATCTGGGGTGAATTGGTGCAGATTTGGTCCAAGTGTCAGACTGGTCTCTGTGTCCAGCGAGTTTTGCTTGTAGTCTATTGTTCATCTTGCACACTTGGAGTACCTGCGCGGTATGCTGGAGTGATTTTTAGCTAAAAATACCTGTATTCCATTACCATGTTAGTTGTACATTTCAGCTCTCTGATACCAATGAGGGTGAGATACTTGTGCTCGGAGTGCACTTATTTTTCCACTTCTTTATTTGTCTTTCTTGATGCACCTCATGGACAGCTCCTGCAGCCAGATTACAGATGGCCCTCGTGCATCGCAGCATGGCAACAGAGAGCATGGAGCTTCCCAAAGCATCCAGTGCTGTTTGGCTCTTGGGTGGTGCTGGTGCACTCATGGCTGTTGAGGCATGGGTAAGGTCACTCAAAGATGGCTTCTTTGCTGATGTGTTCATTACGAGCAAATTTAGAGGACAGCGACTGCATTGGCCTCAGAGCTTGAGATGAGATGTACTTGAGTACCGGAAATACATGAACATGCATGTGTGTGCTCTATGGCACGCTAAAGCGGAATTTATTCAACACTTCACGGAAACTGTCAACATGGTATTAGAGAATAGAAAAAATATGGCACTGAACCTCTGGCCTGGACTTAAGGCTTCCAATTCTGAGCAATTTGGATGCAAAAGTCTGAAAGTGGCACTATTGTTTTATGTAGCTGTTTTGCAGAGGGATGCATTTTCAAAATGGTTACTTTTCCGGACAGGTAAATTTCCTTAATTGTAGGGGTGGTCTGCTTTGGGTAAGAATTTCTCAAACATTCATGGTCAACCCACTCAAAATTGAATGGAAAATGAAAAAGGACATGTCGAACATTATTTTCCTGTCCAGCCTGGACACCTGTGAGAGTTGATATTTTTTACGCGAGTCTTGACTATTTTTTTGATGTCGGCATTCATTTTCATCAGGTTTGCCCATGTTTGGCAATGTTGACCTATTTTTTTCACCGGGTTGGAGTGTTTCTTACACTATTGGCATACAGTAGGTCTTTCGGCAGGCTTTTTCATAGCTTTTTTTAAATGTTGAATTACTTTTCACGGAGTAAGGGCATTTTTTTTACAATGTTGACATTTATTTTTCACAAGAATCTTGACTGTTATTTTTAGAAATGTTGGCATCCATTAATGAAATGTTAACAGTTTCTGTGAAGTGTTGAATAAATTCCGCTTTGGTGGCCATAGTGAACAGCGGTTCTCCTGGGAGCTGTCAAAGAAGGATGCTTTTGTTAATTGTTGCATTAGACTGATTCTGTGGATCTGGGAGGCTGCTTTAGTGAGAGGCAGCATTTGCGTATTTCTCTAGATTAGTCAGTAAGTGAGAAATTAGTGAGAAATACAGTATCACCTAGCAAACTTGAGCTACAAAGCGTCCAAAGGATGTACATGTACCCCATGCATTTAAATGTATGTGCATGCCCTGTAGGGAAAAATGTCATTGGTCAATGGTTTTGTGCCAAAGAGCTGTATACAAAATTTTAAGTGTGTCCCTTTTCAACGTCAAGGAGAGGACATTGACCCGATTAGGGTATATGCACATCAGATGTTGTTAGAAATGCAGTAAAACTGAGCAGGTTGGATTAATACAGATAAAACTCGATGCTTCTTTGGCAAGTGCTCACACTAACAGGCTGAATGAATCCAAATAAACAAATAAAATAAGCAGTACTTGTTCCTGTGATCTCTGTGTCCATGTTGATTTTTTTCCGTGCTTGTTTACAGACATGCAACCAGCGCCTCACTGCAAACAAAGAGCCACAGCTTTTCTACCCCCACATTTCATTACTTCAGATAACAGATATCAATTCTATTTGTGTGTCAACAGGTCTACTTCAATGACCTTATTGTATGGGGTCTTGCTCCCGAGCGACCAAAAGCTGAGTCAATTGCCAGCTTCTCTGTTAAAGAATAATGAAGTTATCTGATTCAGTAAGTAGACATCTTATTGTAAAACGAGAACTGCAAAGCAAAACGTAAGAAAAAATAACACTTCTTTATTAGCGTTGTTCTTGTTTGGCATGTGTTTTGCCCGACAATACCAAGATCAGGGAGTATAGTGCAAATGAATTGAGTACTCATGCATATTGATTTATGCGCTGGTTCTCATGTTGTTGCCTTTTGCGCACATAATTTTGCATATGATTTATTCACTGAAGTGACAAGAAATGAATACATGTATGTCATTGATCTTGTTGAATGTTTAAAAATTAGTGATTTCCAAACTATTTTTTCATCTACATTGTATATCTACCTGTACATTTAATGTGACAATTTTTCTCTTAAAGGTATGCCAATGTATGTTCTGTGAATATGTGACCACTGTGTCAATACTAAGTACCGGTACACATGTCATAATTGATGCCCCAAACAGAAGCAACAAATTTTGTACTCTTGTAGATAAACCAGCCACCTATTTTCCACCATGGACGTCATGTAAAAATCAGAGCGCAGAGCTATCTGAGAGATTGTGTAATAATGAACAAATCCACAAGTTTACTTGGGTGGGACTTGATTCCAAAATGTTTTGCTTTACGGCAGGTATCTTGCAACTTGACCACAACTTGTGGATTCATCTCGCCAATTGAAATCAGAACAGCAGCAGACGTCTCACTAACTCACCTGCTTATTTCCTTCATTTGCAGTTTTTGATGCCCCAAATAGAACTTCTGCTGTAGTGTTTAGAGAAATAGACAACTGAATCAACCAACGTGCTTCAAAGACTTCCAACAAGCAGTCTGAATGATGCTGCTACCACTTTCTGCCACTCACATTTCTACCGCTTTTGCATATTTAGCATGAAGATGCATCGTTTCCCTAGGAAGAAAATGAAGCCAAGACATTTTCGAAACCACGGTGCATACAACTACTGAAACTCTTTATAAGCTGCAGAGGCAAGCTTAGAATTGTGCCTACAGAGCCCGGAAAAATCACTGCACTGCATGAAATACTCAACTAACTCGTAGGCATGTTACCTGTAGAATTCTCTATTCCACATCATGTAGTCTAAGAACTTTGTCTGTCATTTCTAATGTCATATAAAAAAATTCATGTGAGGTGACTTTGTGGCGACAGAAACTAAGATTCTGAATCATGAATGTATCCGTGGAAGTCGCAAATACTTTACATGTGGATAATTCGGCTAGAAAAGGTTAATCCCATGATGTACAAGGTAGTGTTTTCCTTCCTTATTAGTTTGTATTAGGGGTATAGTTGAAGTCTATTTGACTTCTGGAGGGCATCTGGAGTTGATGTGTTGAAAAGATGTAATGTGCATGTTTCTATACATCATTATAAATTAGGAAGATTTTAAAGAGCGATATTCTGTCTGATCGGTTTATTATGTGTATTTAATCATGCTTCATTCGGAAGAGGATGTTTGTTTTCCAGAATAAAAATATGTTCTAATTTAGAATAAAATGTGCTCTAAATTGTATTTTACAATGAGCTGTTTCTTATGTGGGAATTATCATGATGTCTTCAATTTGTTGCATTGGCGAAACAGAAATTAGCCGTAATGGTCGCGTTATCTTTATGCAAATAATATTTGTAATGTCAAAGCACTGTCAATAGTTCGTCATCCAACCTTTGTTGTCAATAAACTCAGCTTGTTTTGTCAACCTTATAATTGGGGAAGGGGGGGATACTTCTAATTAATATTCTCTAATCATGTTGACTAATTATTATCACAGAAAGGCATTTTATATCAATTGATTTAATCATGTGTGCGAGTTTTGATGTGTAGTTCCTCTGGATGAAATAAATGACCTATAACGTTCAACCTTTGTCAAGATGCAGCCAATGAAATTGTGTTTTACTGAGCATGTTGACTGTAATAGTTGTCATACATTACAATAATTGTTCCTTAACCCTAACAGTCCCAAATCCTCCAACTTCAATATTATTTTACATACACCCTAGGGGTTAGGGTTAATACACAGTGGCATGTTTAAGCTCCTTGTGTGGGATGGAGGCAAATGCGGTATTTTTCCTGAAATAACAGGAAAATGTTTATTCTGTAAAGTGAGGAATGTAGTGTGCCATCATTAGATCCAGAGGGCAATTGTTTTTTTTATAATTTTGGGGGAAATTTTTCATTTACCCCCTTCCAAAAGCATGCAAAAAGCCGAAAGGAGGCATTATCCCTCACTAAGGCCACTAAACACACATACACCAAGGCATGCATGTGCACCCCTCCCCCCCAAAAAAATAAATGAATAATGAGTTCTGGATCTGCTCTTATTGCATGTTGGGCTTGGAGTGGCACTTGAAATTAAAAAAAAAAAAAAACGAAACAAAACAGCAATAACCTCTCTGGTCGTTGAGCGTCATTTGTAGGCGCGCTATACCATCGCAGTTGTAAGATTTCTCAACGGTTTTTCATCGGGTTATTGGGGGCACGGTCATAGAAATTAGGAGACCTCATCGAAAGTACTGTTTTAATTACTTGACCATGTTTACATGAAAGATTTAATTGACTTGGGGTCGGGGAAAAGCAAAAGTCTTGAGTGTTTTTCATCACTACTTTCCAACTTTTTCCATGTTCTCAAAGGTAACAACTTTTTCGATTCTCGCATAAAATAACAAATTAAGAACACATAGAACAAACAGCTGGTTTACCTTACACTGTACTGGTTTCCGCCAAACAGTCCCAATGGTGGTGTGGGTCCGAACAACGGCGTCTCTTGACCAAAGTCGTAAAAAGTTCAACAAATGACCTAGGGCCTGTTTGTTTCACACGGATCTGGATCGCAATCAGTGATCCTAACGCTGCTTCGCACCATCCATTAGCCGAGTGTTAGTGTCTGTAAACCAATGATGCATCACTGCTTGTCAATCAGATGTTCGATTGCAGTCGCCAAAACGTGCCCTGCTAAAGGACTTCACTGAAACTTTCGTCCAATCAACCCGAAGATTTTTGTGCACGTGGTCAGCGCCTCTTTCTGTGAAAGAACGATGCGGTATTAAAATGGAATGATGAGGGTGTATTTCGGCGAGGTGGGCTTTCCCTGAAGTGGAGGTTTCTGCTAATTTACAGCCGTATCAGGACCGTATATGTGTGACCAGCTTGATTGTTATTCATGGCTTCTAGTTCAGAGCGTTTTAGTTGCTATGTAGAAAAATGAGCTGGGTGTCCTGCAGGCTGTTTTACGGTTCGCTGTCCTGCATCGGCGCCCGCGGGGTGCCAACGCTTCATAAATATTCATGTACGTAGCAATCACTGTAAATAATAAACGTGTCTAGGGCTTTGTGAAATTGTCTTGTTGTCATATGTGTCGGAAAATAATTAATCTAGGCTTTCCTTAATCTCTTGGGGTTGAGAAAATAATTTTTTTTTAATTCAAATTGCGCAGTCAGAGATGGGGGTCATTGCGATACCTGAGTATGCAAAGAACAGAACGGTCACCTCCAAAACGCCTATAGTTGAAACATGTATATTGATTTGTCAAAAGGGAAAAAAGACGGGCTGTCAGTGTGGGAACCTGCCCCTAATTGGTTCAGTTGGTTTAACGACAAAGTGAAATAAAACTCGAAAAATTTACACAAATTTACTTTGCTGATTGAGAGTGGAATATCCACCAGACATCAGTTTGTTTTAAATCAACCAATAACACTTGGTATATGTAAACTCACATCGACGAGGGCTGTTAAGGATACAAAAAAGAGTGTCGACAAAATCTATCATTTGAAATTTGCATATTCAATCAGACCATATTCATTCAGACCATTTCTGGGGGAAAAATGCTGATTGGCTGTGCTGGAAATCTGTAGGTACGAGTAGGGCAGTCGAGTCTTTGCGTATACTTAACAGAACAATGAGTAATTGTTTGTTGGAATGTGGAGTCTGCTGCATGCAGCGCTTCTCGCTCATGCGTCGCTGTGACGCAGTTTTCGTCCATGTTGTACTAATGGCGTGCATCTCTCCTATGGAAATAGCAATGCTAGCCCGCATCTGAGAAAGCGTGATTGAAGTTTCTTCAAGGCTGACTGAAGTATGGCCCATTTCCCCGACTAACTACATGGGAAATCTTCTGGAAATGAGGCAGGTGTTACAGACTAATTTAAGGCTTGGGTTGTTGTGATTTTATTAGATTTTGGAGGCGCACATGTAGGCCTAAAAGAAACTGACGAGGCTATTGTCGGTCGTACTTTCATGTTTGTGGTCCTTTGTTTCAAAATTTCAGGTCTTTGAATAAAGCTGATTGTAGAATATAGACGTTTATGTTGACACTGCACACGGAAGACGATGTCTCCAGCAGCAGCAGCAGCAACAACAACAACATAAACTAGATGGCACCAATTTATTTGAATAAGGTAAGCTTTTAGAACAACTTGCTTTAGGACACCACTTTTTCATAATTAACGCCTGGTTATCTGTGTTGCGGTGAAAATCTCGACTTCTTGAAGAATTTTTGGCGATTGTAAAGTTCGGGACCCTGTTCCTTTAATAGAACAGAAGTTTGCTTTTAAACTTACCTTACTAGAGTACGCTGTCTCCATGCAGAATAACTGCAGGATTAGTTTTGTGGAAAGAGGGCAGGCTAGGTTTTGATGTATGAGGGAAATTCTTGGATAAAAACGACCACCGCGACATCAAGGTCTTGTGCAGTGTCAGTGTCATGAGTGTGGGAAAGTCTGGTTAGAGAAAGTCACATTTTCAGCTAATTTATCTTCTTAATTCACTAATACAGGGTCAGCATCATTAAGAGAACACTGCCCGAGATTGTACTCTTTTGCAGGCTGCCTCTTTTGTACAAATGATAAAACAGGGGGGTCCCGAAGTTTACAAGCACCAAATTTTGGGCAAACAGTGGCATAGCAAGTTAATTTTCATGCCGAGGGTTGCCTAGATTTAAAAGGGGCTCTCATAACCTGTACTCTGAAAATTCGGCAGTTTTTACTTTTTTGGCATTGTACAACATCATATGCAGCACTCTTCCTAGTGCACAATGTTTGTGCCAAGTAAGTTAAATGCCTTCGTAAAAAAAAGGCATTCCTGAAAAATGATCACTTGTTCAAATGTACATGTATTTACCCCACCAAATACTACACAATCCGGTACATCTCAAGGAAGGAGTTTGATATACGGATGCCGCTTGACACCTTGTGCACAAACCCTTTGAGACGGGGCTGAGAAATTCTGTTTTCTAAGTAAATGACTTGGTTGTTTCCCTCCAAAATTGAACTTTTCTGGGAATGTTTTTGCTTTCTTACGGCTCATTACTTGATCACTGTAGGGAATAATTACTGGCATCCGTATATGGAACTCTTCCCTATCTCAAAATGAATCACATGAGAATGCCAAATTATGCCTGATATTCAGACCCTTGATCAGAAAGTTCTGAAAGAGGTTGGATAACGTGCACATAAATAAACTCAAAAGAATTGCAGATTAAATATTTTACTACTAAGGAATAAATCAAGTAATGAGCCTTCCTTGGTAATTTACCAGAATTGTTTCTACACTATATTGGTACACAATCTACAAATTGGTTTCGGAAACGGAAGATGTTGAAATTTCTGCGCTTTGTTTTGATGTTTTGGATTGTCTGGGAATACTTGAAAAAATAAAAGACACTCTGATTTGGTTGAACCAAAGTTTGAACAATTTTAGGTTTAAACGATGTTGACAAAGATCTGACATGTCAATACTGATTCATACTGCTGCTCTCTAAGCCACTAATAAAGGAACTGTTCTTGAATTTGAAGCTGTACATGGCACTGCTCAGGATTGAAGCTGCTCAGTTAACCCTGTCAATTTATTTTTTCAATGAGTTGCACCAATTACACATTCTATACTGTTCAGCATGTTCCTTCTTAAAAAAGAAAATCTCTCGTGTTAAATGCCCTTTCTAACTAACAAATTTTTGCACACATCTAAGAGCTTATGCATGGTAAACTACCATTACATGTATTAATTGATGGAAGTGGCCTCAAGTAAAATGGCCTTGGAAGTTGTCTTAAGCAAAATCTTGTAGATGTGGCAAGTTAAAACAATTTACTTCTGATGGCCAGCATGCTTTTACCTGGAGATGTGGAGGTAAGATTATCTTGTGTCAGATGTTGGCAAAGTACTGTTGAGATCCACTTGGGGCTACTAAGGGGGTTTCTGGTAATGGCCTCCATTACCATTCAGCTCATCCAAATCCCAGCACTGATTACAGTCTACATCAATCCTTGTTTCTTTGTCTTATGGTGTCGATCCATTTTGAACAGTGGGGGCGACATAGCCCTGATCAGAACAAATGCAGGTGCGAAGTATGAAGCCCTGAATGACGTGGGGTCCAGGGCCTGCTAAAGGGCCCCGGAAAATTTTGGAGTATAGATGTTCTGTGGTGTGATCTGAGACATTTTCTGGCTACTTTAGCCATTTTATTTTAATAAATGCTTTTGCAAGGTATACATTTTCATTTAGGTTTTGGGGAAAAAATGGGGGGGGGAGAAACAACTGACACCCCCCCTCCCCGTCCCCCACTGATTGACGCCCATGCTCTTATGTGCTTATGTAGCACAGATATTTCCACTGTTTAAGGGGACTTTGCTTAGGGTTTTTGCGGTGAATATGAAATGAATCAGTACATTTTGATTCTCGAGCTGGTTAATCAGTCCATTTATTGACTTTGTGGTAGCTTTGAAGTAGTAAATGTCTTCAACTTTCTTCTGGTTTTTCCATCTCTATGCTTATGTGCTCACATTTGTGCTATTTATTGAAACAAAAGTAAAAATATTGCAGAAAGCTCCGCTTTAATAAAAAAAAAGGTGATGAGTTGGCCATGTTATCTTCTATTCCTGCATTCTTGCTAT